TAGTCACACGCGATGTAGAATAGAGCATTTGGACGCAAAGCTGAGCTAGCAACGGAGGCCAATTTAGCCGGGTGTTTTGCGTCTAGAGGTTAAACATGTTGGAAAGCTTCAATTTGTGGAGTAAATATTTTGAAAAGGGTAGCACTTTTTTTCTCCACCCAAATAATTTCATTCTTTATATTGCCGATTTGCGTTGATGCTGTATCCCTTCGTTTGGAGATAGGCAGCCCTATTTGGCTGTAATTGTTATTCCCGTTGAGAGGCACTGCCTCTACTACACAGGTTGCTGCCTCTCATTTGAATTGCTGGTGGAAATTTGACGAACATACCTTTTTGTCTCAAGGTAGTCGTCAAGAGGCTTTGACAGGCAACAATCGGATTAACAATGCCGTCAATCAAAGGGCCTCAGGTGATCAGTGCGCCTACTTCTTTTGGCACGGCTCTGCCAGCAAAATTACACAGCAGGGCGCAGCGGCTCTCATGACTATCGAAATGGACGAGGAACGGGGTCCGCAGGTCTGTATTATTGTCATTTCTCACCACACCTTCACCAACACACGGTTTAGATGTGGACTCCGAGGTTTTCATTTAGGGGACCTCTTTGTCTTCTCACTCCATTTGGATGGCCAAATTGCACTTCCGTTTTTCACATCCAGGGAATCCTGAAATTCTAACTTCATCCATGAATGCTGGAAATATGTCTGCTTTTGTTATTGGATTCAATACACCCAATTTAGATGGTAGTTGTAGCATCCCGAGTCTTCCTTGGAGTCGGAAGAAATCATATTGTTATGGCGAAAGATATGCTACTAGTGTACAGAAGAGTTGAGGCCATCAGTGTGGCCTGACGGCAGAGCCTTCAATTTCGACTTAACCAAAACGTTGAGTTAAACAATCAAATGATTGCAGCAGTCTTTGCAGGCTGTCCTGCGAAACACTACCTCCGCTTAAAGCATCTGTCATGAGTTGCCAAGACTTGGCGGTGTGTTTGCTAGCCATCAACTGAAGGCGTGTTCACACGATGCAGTCCTTTGAAGCTATGCCCCTTTCCTAGCAGTAAAATAGCTAACGTCTTTCCCGATATAACAATAGACTTTCCATGGGTCTTTAGCGAGAGTAATTGTCACCTCAAATCGGTCTTTCTTTTCATTTTCTATCCACATGGAATCTTTTGCCAACATCTTTGGATTATTATTAATGTCTTTCAGGTACGTGTTGTTGAAGGCAAAGAACCTCCAGCTTTTTGTAGTCTCTTCAATGGACGAATGGGCATCTACGATGGCGATTCACTTTTACAGGTGACGGTTTTGACAGCACTGTGCATAGTTGACATCCCCTTTTTTCAGAAAAATTCCTTTTTCTCTCCTAAATGCTGAATGAGACGTTTTATACCGAGGTCCCAAGTAAGACTCAACAATCACGGTCTAGAGGTTTTAGTGTGCCAAGATGATATCAATATTTGTACTGCTGAAGTGACCATTTTAACCGCTACTACGACTTAACAACAAATGAGTATGGTAACCCTTAAATATTTTCTTTTAAAATCCTACTCTGTTTGTGACATATTTTGATGCAACAGCATCGCTTGGACTCCGGGTAAGAAAATTATTGTCCTGCATGCACACACGCCCTCGTGATGGTGTCAGCTTGCCTGGTGTGAACTCAACTGACATTGCTAAGTCAAGCCTGTGGACTCTATTTGGTAGCCAGGAGCATAAATTGGAGTGATGATCCCAAGCGGCTCTTTTATGCCACTCTTGAAAGCATATTGTCAATTTCCTCCATTACCAGAAACCACCGATTCGGATGTTTTTGATTCGGGGGGAGCGCGGAGTCGAGGCCCACCTCTGGCAGGTTCCAGCCTCCCTTAACTCTCTCCGTGCACAGGGCGTCTTCCTCATAGTCAGTAGCGGTAACAGCAGCGAAGATGTTGATTGTTGTTGGCTTTGGATCGGTTCCACTGCTTCTCCAGTGAATATCACTGCAGCTCGCCATCTGGTTGAGCAGTTTCAGAAGTGGTGCGTGCATTTCCAAGCCAGAAGCTGTCAACCACAGAGGTTTTGGGGCTCGTCCTTTAATCTTACATACATTCCTTTTCTCCAGCTTACCACCAGAGCTCGGAGTGGAAGTGATGACTGTGGAGGAGGTGAGTGAAGCCAACCCCGACTGCTCTCAAATGCGGGACTGTTTGTGTGCTCTGAACGGCGGTACTCCCGTGCATTCACCTCCGGCAACTATACGACATGGTATGCAAAAATGTCCATTCCTTTATTTCATCCAGTGTCTGAGTAATTCAAGACCCCAAATCTTGTTTTGGAGGATAGAGGCTGTTGTGCGATTCCGAGTAATAAGCATAATGACGTTTGCAAAAGTCCAACAAGTCATTTAAGGCCCCAGAGAGCATTTCCTATGTACAAAAACGGCTTGCTGACGTTGTGACGTTCGAAAAAGGACTTTCTGCGTCTTATTTACGATGGGAGTGTACTATTTTATCGCCATAATGAGGTGACCTCTTCACTCGGTTCAACGAAATTAAAAATTTCACAAATGGCAGTAAAAATTCTTTTGTAGGATTTTGAATTGTATTGGATTGAAGTACAGTATCACTTGTCTGGATAAAGTGGGATAATTAAGCTATAAATCGTACCTCAACGTGTTTTTCGTCCCTTCCTTTCCTTCCATTCAACAAAGGAGTGCAGCGTTTGGTGGTGTGGCAGTTAATCTACACCCTGGGTCAGCAATTATCACCCTACCGACTTCCCTATGTCCTTGAGCCGGACATCACGACGGCGGCGGACTTTGGGATTGAAGTGAGCACCTACGTGGAGTCCGAGTGTCTCTTCTCACCCCTTCTTCCCACCCCCACCTTTCCTACTCTCCTTGGCGATCTTGATGCCGCTGAACAGCCAGGTATGTGTGTTCGTTTCTTCTTGAAATACCACTGATGTTTTGTTGACCTTTGTATCTTTTGTATTGCCTGAGTCATTTCTAAAGATCAAATAGAATGCATCGATGCAATGCTTTTAACATAAGATGTCGTTTCCTGTCACTCTTGAGTGTCATCTCCGGCGTTTCCCATGGCCATTCCTCTGCTTTGTTTCTCCCCGTGCTTCGTAGTCTTGAGATAGAACTGGCGATAGTATGGTTGATTTCTATCCTCTGTGGACGCTTCGGATGTAGCTGGAATTCCCTCCAACGCTAAGCGTATCGGGGGATTATGTTGAAGGCTCGTTGAAGGTTACACATCTCTCGTCGGTAAATCACGTTTTGTGGCACCACTTGCCTAGGAGCAACACGAAGCAGTTACCACTTATGTTGACAATTATCAGTCAAAAATTGGCGCTATTCCAATTCTTTTGTAGTGAGTTTACACATTTCTAGTCTTTTGCCGCATGCATTTTCCTTTTGTGGCATTCTACTTCGGCATCTGGTTGCTGTCATGCACGTCTCTTGAGCATGTTTGTGTTTCACAATGGACTAGTAACTAACTCCACTTGAGTCACAATGTCTTGAAAGTTTTTTTTTGCGTTAGCTAATCACTTTTACAATCTACAGTCTTTTCCCAAAGACTCAAAAACGTGTGGATTTCACTGATATAAAAAGTTTTGGCTCTAGACGCAAAACACTCATTTCCACCTTCACTTTTCCTAATTCCC